ATTTTCACTATGTTGATTCTTCCTACCCAGGAGGAAGGGATGTCTTTCCATTTTCTGATATCATCTTCACACTCTCTTTTCAGAGTGCTATCATTTTCAGAGGAGAGGTCATTGATTTCTTTTGTTAGGTTGATTCCTAGGTATTTCAGTTTCTTGGATGCTATTGTGAAAGGAATTGTTTGCCCTGTTTCTCTCTCAGTGAATCTGTTGTTCCTGTAGAGGTAAGCTATTGATTTTTGTGTGTTGACCTTGTATCCAGCTACTTGACTGAATTTGGTTATTAAGTCTAGAAGACTTTTGGTGGAGTTCTTGGGGTCTGCTATGTAGAGTATCATGTCATCTGCAAATAATGACAATTTGACTTCTTCATTTTCTATCTTTATTCCTTTTATTTCTTTCTCTTCTCTAATTGCTGTGCAAATGTTTCCAAAACTAAATTGAACAGGAGTGCTGATAGTGGACATCCTTGTCTTGTTCCTCATTTCAGTGTGAAAGATTTCAGTTTTTGACCATTTAGTATGATATTGGCTGGCTGTTGGTTTTTCATAGATGGCTTTTATCAGATTGAGGTTGAGACCATCTAGTCCAGGTTTTGTAGAGTTTTTTTTATCATTAATGCGTGTTGGATTTTGTCAAATGCTTTTTCTGCATCTATTGAGATGATCATGTGGTTTTTGTCCTTGGCTTTATTGATACAGTGTATTACATTGACTGATTTGCGTATGTTGAACCATCCCTGCATCCCTGGGATGAATCCCACTTGGCCAGGGTGTATGATCTTCTTTATGATCTTTTGCATTCTATTTGCCAGTATCTTATTAAGGATTTTTATATCTATGTTCATTAGTCAGATTGGCCTATCAGTCTCTTTTTCGGTTGGGTCTTTCTGTGCCTTGGAGATCAAGGTGATGCTTGCTTCCAGGAATGAATTCAGGAGTATTGCTTCCCTTTCAATTTCATTGAAAAGTTTAAACAGTAGTGGCAGTATTTCCTCTCTAAATATCTTGTAGAATTCAGCAGTGAAGCCATCAGGACCTGGGCTTTTCTCAGTTGGTAAGTTTTTAATTACGTTTTCCATTTCATTGATTAATATTGGGTTGTTCAGAATTTTTAGGTCTTCTTCATTCAACTTTGATAATTCATACATATCTAGGAATCTGTCCATTTGTTCAGTGTTTTCCTTCTTATTGGCATATAGGGTGAACCTCATTTTTAAAGGCTCACAGAAGAATGTACTCTTAGTTCCATGAGTTTTATATTGCCCTACTCTGGAATATTTACCTACTCTCAAACTTTTACTATTATAAATAACTTTTATACATTCATATTTTGTGTTTCCTAGGACAACTTTCTAGATGAGGAACTATTGCCAAACTAATTTTCCAAAAGTTATGCCAATTTTTACTCCCACGAGTGTAGGACAGTAATGATGAACCTTTTAGATACTGAGAGCCCAAACTGCAATCCAAAAACCACTTATTTATCGCAAAGCGCCAACACTGCAATTGAACCCGAGCACTGAGGTTTTAGTTTAGATAAAACAACTCATACATTAACATCTTCTGTCTTGAAAGAAAAACACAATAACAGAGCATTCAGTGATACAAACAGCTTTTTATTGAAGGGTAAAAGTTTGCATTTGGTGAGCTTTTGCACAATTAAAGTGATCTTTGCTGTTTATGCATGCTGATAACTTGTCAAACCTTTGCTAGGGGTGGCGGTTCACAGGCTGACAGAGGGCTCTGGGCTCTGCATGCCCACTGTGGCACATATGCCATAGGTTCACTACTGCTGGTATAGGAGATGACCTATTTGCAATTACTGAGAAAGTGTCTTTAACTGAGTATTTTATTGAACTTAGAGCTCGTAGTTTTTCTTTGAAATGGTGTGGGGGGAAAGACGTTTTCCTTTCCATTAAAGGAAAGCACATATGATCAGTATCTTTCTGGCTAACAACCAGTTTTAAGATGCATTGATTTAGATTAAGCTTATTGATTGTTTTGTTTTTTGAGCTATAAATAGTTCTTTGAATCTCTTCTACCTGTTATTTGCCCCTTTTATCTCTTGGATTTATTTTGCTTTTAAAAATTCATATAGGTGACTTCTATATGGTGAGTATATGTAAGGGTATTGGCTTCACCTGTAGGTTTTGCTGCTTTTTAATTTTGTTTTTTCTTTTTATTGCTGGGAATTGAAGCCAGGGCTTCACAAATGGAAGGCGAGTGTTCCAACGCTAAGCCTCAGCCTTGGCCATTTGTGGTAATATTTAAATATTACATTGCAGTGTTCTTACACTATTTAGGAGTTCAGAGTTTTGCATTGCAAGTATATCAGACATGTCCTTCCAGGTTTCTTAGAAAGTATGCTTCCACCCTGAAGTCACTTAAGTTTCTAAGCAGTAGCTGTTCACTTTGGGTTGGCTTTCGTTCCGTTGCTTTGGCCTCGTGACTATGTAGTGTGAATTACTTTGAATTACTTCAGTGGTGTAATAAGTGTTAATGTTTTCTGGGCACTCTTCCCTCATGACTCTCAGTGTAATTCTTCCTCTCATTAAATAATTTTAAAGACATGTTTTATAATCACTTTCAGTTTTTCTCATGGGGGTGACAAAATTTTTATGGGTATTATACCATACTCGTATTATTTTAACTTATGACTCACATTATTATAATAATATCATAAATTATAAATCTTTGTAGTATGTTCTACATTAAAATAACACTTAAGATATAATTTGGATTGTAATTAGAAGCTAAAATGTTATCGATAGCATTCTATTTTAAACATTGTATACTTTATTAAAATATATTTTACATATGAATTTACTTATCCTTTATTTTTATACTTATATTATTATATTTTATACTTACAATAGTAGTATGCTGATATTATTTTGTATTACACTAATTTTCACATTACATTTTTCTATCTTTAAAATATTTACAATTTTCCTTTTATTCTCCTCCTATTGATTCAAGGTTTCACTTATGTCTACAGGTAAAGCTTTATTACTTTTGCGATAAAATATTCATTTTTGTTAAGATCTTTCTTACTTCATATTTTTGTCCTATTGCCAAATGGTTCTCACCTACGTATTTTATTAGTGGTCTTCCTGGTGCACAGAAATGCTAATCAATTTTCCATTGTGTAGTTGGATGCTTTAATAAATTTTATGAATTTTAGAAGCATGTTACTTGGTTTTCATATTAAAATCTCACACGATTTGCCCTGGTGGTACTTTTGGCCCCTTGTGATTTTTCAACCTTGCATCCTGTCACTGGCCTTTGGCTGTGGCTCACTTCCTGTTTCTCCTCCCAGCATGGAGGAGTGTGAGGCGCTCTGCTCCAGACTGGCCATCATGGTGGACGGCAGCTTCCGGTGCCTCGGCTCCCCGCAGCACATCAGAGACCGGTATGTGGAGCTTCCTTTGTTTAAGTGTTTCCTGTCAAGCCCGCAGCGTGATGCAGTATTATAGCTAGAGATGCTTTCGGAACAGTGCTGTGGACCAGTTAGTTACCTCCTGACATGCAGCAGGAGGCGAAGGCCCTGAGACGCCTCTGGAATGTTCAAAACCCATAATCAGTAAGTCGGACATACAGCGATTTCTGGGCATTGTCCTTAAAACATTTCGCTCTCTCCCTCCCACACCTCGTTGTGGTAACGCGGGTAAGCATGGGAATCTGATGGCAACATTGGATACAGGCAGGGCCAGGAACGACGACCTTGCATACAAAGTGCCTTATGCACAGGGTGTCCCAATTCCATCCTCATGCAGTGAGTCAGACTTCCGCCACGGAAGCAGCATCTTAATAAAGCCCTTTGTCGGTGGAAGAATGCAAAAGGGGATTGATGTGGCCACCTTTCATTTGGGCTGATGAAAGAACGAAGGCTATTTTCCTGTGCTCAGGAATCCCTTTGGTTTCTGCCTGGATAATTATCTCTTCATGCCCTTTTCCATTTACTTTTTGGAAGCTTAATGATTTTGTTATCAATTTCTATGAACATTTTTATGCCTTGTTCTAACTTTTTTAGAGTTGCCTGAATGATTTTCTAATTTCCTTTAATTTGTTGTTTATACTTTTTACAGAGGGTAGTCATTTGTCTTGATAAATCTTTTTTTCTTCTTCATGTATTTAGTGTTATAAAGGTTAAAATTCTCAAGCAGAGATCTGATATATACACAGAATCTGCCAAAAATGTATACACACTTCAGGAAAGGAAAAATAAATGCCTGGGAGCTCATGGCCACCACTTTGAGCACCTCTTGTAATTGTAGAGGCCAAATAATCTCATGATCTCTCAATAAATTTAGTATTAAAGTATCTATACAAGTGTTTCTTTTCCAGAAGCATATATACATTTTTTGGCAGACTCTGTGTCTGTGTAATATGTGTGCATATGTATGTGTATATGTGTGTCTATACATATATATTTTTTGATATCACTTTTGTTTTTAATATAATTTATTTAATTGTAAGTTTATATGATTTATTTTTAACTGTGATGGTTTGAAATTGCCTCTCAAGTTTTATAAAAATTAAGTAGACTCATGAATGGTCCAAGCCAGCTCCAACAGTGGGCTGTTTGTGCCAGGCAATGCTTTATCCATTAAACCCATTTTTTCTCTCATATGATGATTTTCTTCCAGGTACCCACTCAACTATGTGTTTCCTTTGGAGCGATCTCTCTATTATTTCTTCCATAATATTTCTCTCTACCTGCTCTATCAGTCTTTCTACCATCTGATTTTAACTTTGTAACATTAGAAAGAATATTAAAATAACTTACACTACAATAGTATGTCAAAGACAGTTATGTCTGAAGCAATAATAGTGCTAATATTCCAAATAACTGAATCTCGAGTAATGAAACCTTAAGTTTTTATTTTGTACATCAGGGAATAGAGATATTTCCAGACAGGTTTTTCAAATTATTGTCAGGTAGCCGGTAAAAAAATATATATATATTAATATATATTTATTTATTGGTACAATTTAGGTATAAAATAAACACCCAAGGATATACATATATATTTTTATGGACTCTCTATAAGTTAGAATATTTTTATTTGGGAAGAAAATAGCCAGTGCTTGGATTGAAATGATAATTAGTAGCTCAGAATTAGGCAATGTAGTCCTGGGACAGCAGGCTTCTTCTTTTCCCCTATTTTAAAAAACCTGCAATAAATACACATATGAACCCATGTTTCCACAGTTGTGAGATACAATAGAAGGGATGATGGCTGGGTGTGTGTACCCAGAAGTCACGTGTAGGTTCTTTCACCTGCCGGATGAACCTACTAAAAACTGTTTTCAGTATGTACTCTGTTCATCTTTAATGTGTCATCAGAAGAAAAATAATGTTTCACACTCTCTAACCTCGACGAATGCCTTCATAAATCTTTACAGCCCATTCCCGATTGTCGAGAGATGTATGCTTGAGGCCAGCTACTTGCTTTCCACTGGGTTGGCTACTGTTGGCCATCGAGCCAGAGGATGAGGCCCCTGGGCCGAGCCATCCTCCAGCTGTGTGTTCTGCAGGCTCCAGTGTGTCCGCTCCCAAATTAGCTCTTTTGACCACTTCACTCAGCTACTCGGACCTAGTTCCATTCATTTCCTGGACATCAGGATGTCTAGGGAATGTAGACCTTTAGCTGGGCACTTTGCCACTAAAATAGAATCAGTTTCCTGTTTGGAAAATGGAGGCTGCGTGGGTTTCCTGGAGTCTGGCTCCTGCTCTGGATTGGATCATCAGGTTAAGGGTGTGTTATTAGGATGAGCAGAGACTCTAGGGCTTCTAAGACAGTCATATGACAAGGAGAAGCCTTAATGTAAGAGAGCTTCATAAACATGTGTATGAGCACATTACTGTGTGTGTGAGCATGTGTGTATCCATGTGTGTGTGGACATGGACTAGTGACCCAGGGTAGGGTGCTGGCTACCTGACAGCCAGTCCACTGATATTTGTCCAGGTAATTAATTAGTCATGCATTCCCAAGTCCTTTGCCTTTCATACCTTGAGCTCGGTCTGAGAGCCAGATAGCTGCAGGCACACTCCTAGCCCACCTTTGGAGACCAGTGTCAGCTGCAAGCTGCGCCTGTGTGCTTCTCTGCCCTCAGAAGGGGCGTGCAAAGGAGACTGAAGCAAGAGGGTGGACAGAGCCCTCTGAGGAAGGGAGACAAGAAGCCTCCAGCATGCAGAGCTGCCAGTTTGAAGGGTGCTGTGTGATTTTCTGATTCAGGAAAGAAGAAAAAAGGCTGTTTATTGGCAAACAAAACAAAGCTTTAAATGATCTAAGGAAAAATCTTAAGATGATTAGCATTTTAATTTCCTTCAGTTGTCAAATGTGAACATTTGGGGAATTAATAAAAATGGAAAATATTTCATAGGACACCCTCATAGATAGGTTATTTGGCTGTTCAACTTAAAATATAAGTTAACCCTCATCTGGCCTTCCAGATCTGGCCTTTTTTTGGTGGATAGTCTTCCGAAAAATGAAAGGAAGAATAATGGTATTTGAGCTCCCAAGTTATGACTGTCTGGATAACTTCAAATTAACATGTCACCTTATGTGACACCATATGCTTCACTGTGGCTACTTTGATTTAATGCTTCTACAACACAGAGCTATAAACACACAGGCTTAGATTAAGATGACATCATCAATAATAAACTGACTCATTTAAAAATAGAACCGATAATTCAATATGTTTATGTCATTTTCTCAAACAAGGCAGGGGGCATTTGTGTACAAGCACATGATGTGGAACTTCGGGGTGATCTGCTACCCACTCCTGTTTTTCTGCATCTACTTTGTTTTAAAGCATCATATAATTCCCTTGCTGTTACTCACCCCTGAATTAATTCTCTGCATTAGAAATAGTTTTATTATGAGAGAGCTATCGACTGAGCTCCAAAGCCTCAGTATGTCTACCTCTACCCCAGCTGATGTGTATAATTTGTCATCTCATTTGTTTTCACAACATCATGTTGCAGGAACAAAATTAATGCTGTTTTAACATAATTACCTGGGAAGAGATTTAGATTCTCATGCCCTGCTCATGCTGGGGATATCGGTTGGATGCCTCTGGTCTGACAAATGCAGATCGTGAGCAATGACACCCAGAGCTGTCACTTAACCAAAGGGAAATACTGCTTTCACTTCTTAGTATTGTGTTTTCTCTTGAAAATAAGCAGACTGCTTCTCACCCACAGCGAAGATGGGGACAAGAAGTGCTGGAGACCGCTCTCTTTTTAGATGGATGAGTTTTTTTTGCTGGGGACTCAAACTTACATCATGATTCCAGGGTGCACAGTCACATTTGTTCCCCGCTTTTGTTAGAGATGATGAGGACAGGATTCCTCTTCTCAACAAAAGCATGGTGGAGCACGAAACAGGCACACACAGATGCACACGTGCAATGCTGTGGGCATTGTTCTGAGCGCCTGGTGGATGTCACACTGTGTGCTGCACTTGTTTATAGCAGTGAACATCACTGCATATTCAGAGTGCCAGGGACTGAGTGGTGAGTAAGGCCTGAGCCCTATAAGGACTGGGCCAGACACACAAATCAAAAACTGTAGCAGAAAGACTGGAAGTGCCTGGAGAAGGTTTTAAAGAAGATTCTAAATCCCTACACATGAGGTGTGGGGGTTAAGAGAAGGGCGCGTCCAGACCTAGGGTCTTAAGGGAAGGATTGGCTCAGTCGCTTCCTGGACGGGAAGCATTTAAACCAGAAATACACATCAGCTGTGAATGCATTCGAGAGGAGCATAGTGAAATAATGAATTTATGCTTAAGAACAGCTTGACTACAATGGGGTAGAAGTTGAATATTGACCATAATATCCACCATAATTTTTGGATTAATTCTCAAAATTGGAGATTATGATTCTAGGGTGAAAAAAATGGAAGGACAAGGAGAGGAGAAAAGGTGGACTTTTTAGTAGATGTTTTTGTTCTGTAGCTAAAAGTTAAATAAGACAAAACTAAAGCCAGCTGCTAGCAGGGACATAGAGAAGGCAGTGTGTATACAAGGGGCATTGGCCAAAACGTACAACATTGCAACTAGCTGATCTGAGGCTTAAAAAGGGGAAGTGCCCTGAGGCTTGGAGGATAGAAAGATGGTGAAGTCATTGGAGAAATGGAGATCTTGGGGGATAGTGAGCATGAGGAGGGTTGTGAGCATTGGGAGGAACTATGCACTGCTGGAAGGAACTAGAGGGTGCTGGGAGGAAGTAGCAGACTGCTGGGAAGAACTAGGGGCTGCTGGGAAGAACTAGAGGCTTCTGGGAGGAACTACAGGGCTGTTGAGAGGAACTGGGGGCTTCTGGGAGGAACTGGGGTCTGCTGGGAGGAACTGGGTGCTGCTGGGATAGTTCATAATGAAAAACGGCTGTTGGGATTCTACA